AAAACAATCCACACGATAGAAAAAAAATCTATTACCTTCTGTTTTATAGCTTTTTCTTTTTTTTTTGTTGTAAGTTTTTTGTTTTTGTTTTTTTCTGTCTAAGAGATTTTTTTCGATTTATTTATAGAGGGGGGGGGGGGGCGGGCATATTAGTTAGCTTTTCTACAATGAAATTATTCTTGAGGTCAATATCAGCTAGTCTTAGGAGTCACACATGAGGTCCCGATTGCAACACTTTTAAAAGGGCTGTGTTATGGCAGTCCAGTTCATTTTGTTTAATTTTGCCAATTACTCGCCTTCAATTGCTATGGAACTTAAAGTAAGCAAAGAAATTACACGTAAATGACAAAATCAGAGATCTGAGACAAACAAATATGTGTCCTGAGCATTATTTTTGAAGTTGCAAGCAGCAGGGATCATTTTTGAAAAACTGTTAGGCTGAACAGTTTTCAAAAATCTTAATTTAAATCCGTTTCAATCTTCTTCAGTTTTGCCCATCCGTGGCATCTGTTGTTTCTGTTATGTTATTTTAACCTTCCTTTAAAGGTTTAAGTGGTTATTTTTATGTTTCTCTTAATTTAACAGGCATTTTGTAATTTCCTAATTTGGCTGAATTTCGTGACACAGCTCCTTTAAAATCCGAGTTTGAAACGTCTTTTCAGCTTAAGTACTTCTGCTTATTCTTCTTCTTCGTGAGTCGTTTTATCTTAACAAGTAGCTTTTTTATTTAGTCGAATAATGAAGAAATTAAAAGTCAATATAACACTTATTTTCATATGGAAAGATATGAAAATATATAAATAACCCGTTTAGGAGACGGGACAAACACTAACAGAAGGTTTTAAAATGAAGGGTGACCCGTTGAATAGGTTAGCAAATGTGCCGGGACTATCATTCTTTAGTAAAATCCAACTAGTATGGTCTATTATCAATGCTGTGTTCTGATTGGTTGAGCTACTACTAGGCCATATGTTATAGCCCACTAGTAGGGAAAAGCGCCGGCTTTGAAAACCAAAACAATGGCGGCTGAATTACGTTTTGCTAGCTAAAGTTGTTTTGTCTCGATATTTTTGACCAACTTGTTGGATTTTACTAAAAGAATTACTCCTCTCGCCCTCATGGCCTCTGAGTCAATAGCTAATCCGGCCTTTCAAATTGGCCCCATGGGCTATTGACTCAGAGCACAAGTTTGGGCTCGAGGAATAATTGTTAAATATGAACGTTAATTTAAGGGATCGGATCAAGGCTTTTTTAGGTTGAACATCTTCATATGCCTCAAGTTTCCAATGTAATCAGCTCCTCCCTAAATTATAAGACTTCTCAGAAGTCAGGGAGGGTGGAGACAAATGATAGCTACTTAGCAACAATATCGGAGGAAAAAACACAACCGAATGAATTCACACTCAATTCTACAATTGTATTGTATGGGGATAAAGAGAAGCACAGAACAGATCCAAATGTATGCAGCCTGTAACAAAACTGGGACCTGTTTTTCGAAAGTCCCGGCAATTAACAGGCCTGGAAAGCTGTTGTTTACATTCAAAATAGATTTTTCAAAACTTTGGAAGATAACATGATTAAGCGATCTGTTGACAAGACAAAATAAACTGGTTTGTAAGCTAGGATACCCGCTTTTTGATTTTGGGCCATGAAAAATTACCGGGACCTTCGAAAAACGTGTCCCTGGTCGACTTTCATGTCTCTTATTAAAACTAAATATATTTTCGTGAAAAATATACACTTCTGGTTATATCTCTAATCACTTCCCCAAAAAAGCATTGCTAAACAATGTCTCTATATTTCTGACTAAATTAGTAAAAAATGGGAAGCTGGATCTTTTAAAATGGAACGATTAATAATTTCACAACTTACCGTAAATGATCGATTAAGTGCTGCTAAGCGCCGCGGCACTAATTCGAGTATTTACAAATTAACACCCCGCCTTTGTTATGGTGCTTGATATTAAGAGATATCAAAACCATATCTCTTGAGAAATAAGAAAGACCTCGACCAACTTGTGAGTTCTAAAGTTTTAACTAGGGAAACTCTAGAAACTGGGTTCATATAACACTTCGAGGTGTACATATTTTACACAAAATTGTGCATACCTTAACCTAATACGCACCTGACTTCATTCTCTCTATATTCCCCTCAGTGTTTTACCCGTAGTTGAATGAGTGCCGTTCTCGTATAAGCGCCATGGAGCTTAATCAGTCATTTACGATAATCATTTTGATGTAGATGGACACAAAAACTTATTGTGGATCGAAAATTACTTTTCAAAAAACAATTAATAAAAAAAATACCTGATCTGAACTAGTCATCAAATAGAAATGATTACATGTAAATCTAACAAGTAAGCTATCTATTATTATATTCTACCCTTAAAACCATGTCAATATAAGTAACGTTTACTTTTATGAAATTATAATTATCTTTAAATATGCATTATTTGGTACCTTAGATATACTATAGTAATCAGAGTGTAGACTTGTGTTAAGTAAAATAAAACAAAAAGATTAGTGCAAGGTCAGCTTCATCATTTTTATCTGTGGGTTAGGTAATAGGGTAGAGAAATCAGACTTCATAAACTCATGAAATTGCCTAGACCAGACACTAAACAGAGCTAAATTTTCTACCATTTAAAAGCTAAATTTTCTATCATTTAAATCATATAAGGGTAATAATTGATTGTAGGGTGTTCATGAAATTAAATGTTGTACAAATATTAAAGATGTCTTCGTCAATACACAACTTCGTTATGGTCAAGATAATCCTCAAATTTCACGTGTCATAAAGGCTTCTGTGGTAGACCTTTCATTTACATTCACCATGGTCTAGCCTGTTCCAGGCTCTCAGATAGTAGGGATGGCACCCCGGGATGGCACATGAGCTGGTGTAACTGTCCGGCTACAGAACCCCTACACAAGCCTTAGGGCCTGTTTACATGGAGGTGGGAGACCCCAGGTAGGTGAGGTAGGTAACCCGCCTGCCCATATAATCTCTCACATGGTCACCCCACCCATCATGTAAATGTAATCAAATTAAAATGAGAGATTATATGGACAGGCAGGTTACCCCACCTAAGCAAGTTTTCTCACCTGGTAATTTGAAAATTGTAAAATCGACGCTGTTCAAATGATTCAATTTTACAATTTTCAAATTAACATTAGGTAACTACGTTGCACAGGGATTTTATTCTTTTTTACACAAGGTTACCTCACCTACTTAGGGTCCCACACCTCCATGTAAACAGGCCCTAAATGGTCAGTGTGAAAACCTTAGATAATACTGAATAACTTTTAGAGTTCATTCATCAGTGAGGGAAATTTATTAGAACCGTACATTCACCACTTTACAATGTGAAGAAAACTGGGTTGTGTTTCCCAAAGACTTCTGGGACTGCTAGCGGAGACAGGGAAAAAATGGCCAACAGCTGACTGGTGCATACTGGTGTATCCAAAGGTAACTCTGCTCAGTAGCCTGAGAAAACAGACAACATTTCGCGACATCAGCAGCGATTTCCCCGTGAAAGGACATCTGAGAAACAAATGCAGAAATTCGATACTGATGATGCATCACTACCCAGATCTGGCTAGTGCTTCTGATTGGTCATGCTGCATGTGAAATTTGCCTCAACCAATCATAAGCACTACCCAGATCTGGGTGGTGGCGTGCTATCAGTATGGAATTTCTGCGCTTGTTTCTCAGACATTATTTCACGACGAAACCGTTGGTGACGTCGCAAAACGTTGTCTGTTTTCTCAGGCTATGCTCAGTTCCCCTCTCATTTTTTTAAAGTGGCAAATTTACCTATGTTAGCCAGAATTTCATGTCCTGCCAGGAGCACTTGACCTTCATGGCATAGTCTTACTCTAGGGTAAAAAGAATTTCAGGGAATTGCTCATTTGTCACTTTGTTGAATCTAAATGTTATTCCAGAACAATGGACATACTCCAAAGCATTCTCCCCACGCCATGAACATGAACCAGACAAGGAACTGGTGACCAGGTAATTAGTATCCTTCTCTAGAGTTACTGGTTCACCAAACAAGACTTCACCAAACAAGACGTTGATGCCATAGAACCCCACACTTTTGTACTGAAACAGTTGGGAATAAAAGGTTCCTGTTTTCTTGGCAAGCAATGTGTTTGTTGACACATCTTTGACCATCAAAGTAAGTACATGTTGTTCACTGTTACAGCTAAAGATTCGGACACCCTGCATTTTGATGGGCTCATCGACAGACAGACACAGAGCATGTTCCTTTTCATGATCAGCTCCATATGCTCTCCAACCAAATTTCACAAGAGACCCAAATCTTTGGCAATGTTTGAGACCACCAGTTCTTTTGATGGTTAAAAATCCCCAGTAACCAGTTAAAACAGTAACCTGCGAGCAAGCTTTCCTATATGGGCAAGCGAAGTGAGCCTCGCGAGAACGCGCGAGCGAGGGGCCGAGGAAAGGAGAGCTTGCAACGATCTCTCATAAATTTTCATTTCTACTCCGGAAACCCCGGGACTCCGCAAAGCGTGAAAACCGTCACCGCAAACGTGCCGCAGATTAGAAAAGTGACAACCGCCTGTCACGCGTTCTCGCGAGACTCGTTTCACTCGCCCAAACAGGAGAGCTTCCTCGCAGGCTACTTAAACAGCGGTGTACCTCCTGAAAACAGCGGTTACTACTTGATGTAAGCTTACATGAAGTACCGACCTGCGTGGCAGTCGCTAAGGGCGGTGCCCACTATTGTTACTGCGCACATTTTCTGCGCATACGAAGGTAGTCGCGCGTGACGCGAAATGTGCAACACGCAGGACACGCGGACTGGTTTTGTCTCCTGTAAGTCTGGGAGGTTCGAGTTATTTCTTGTGGAAAAGATGCGTCATTTTTCAACACATGAAAAATAATTTCTATTTACCTTGTCAGTTCTTTGAAAACCGAAGAAGTATACGCATGTTGCTATTTCTACGAATGATCGATCTGACCGAATTATAGTCAAACAAAAGTCAATTCTAAAACATCAAAAGTTGTTGCTTCAAGATGTTACGCTTAGCGCTTGGGTATTAAAAAAATCCCTTAATAGGCAAGGATCAGTAAATCAGAAGGAAACAAGAACGCTCTTAGTAGCGTTGAGTCTCGCTTGCTTGGAGATGAGTTTTAATGTCAAAGGCCCCGGTGCCGTTATACTACTTTTTCGTTTGGAATACAAAACGAGTGTTGTATGTCATAATGTATATACTCAAAAAGTAAAAATTGCAAGGAGAGACAGACTGCACATCTTAGCCTCAAACCGGTGTGAAACCTTTGAAAACCTTCTACATATTGATATTGCTCCATTGAGGAGTACTCTTTCAGGGATTCTACACTCGAAAAATTGAACGATGATTTTTATCGGTATCAGGGGCCCATGACTCTGTCAGTATAAATATATACATAGTTTCTTTGTACCGGACCAAGATACGGCTCGGTACAGTATATGTTCAGCACAGGAAAAAAGTGTAAGTTGAACAGAACCTTATACAACACACAGTAAATTCAGTTCGCGCGTATTCCTGCTGAATTTGTTGTCCGTTTTATAAGATATCAATATCGCATGAAAGTAATGACATTTTCCATAGCTGCTTAGTATCTACTTTTAATATCTCCGTACAGTCTCAGAGTACAATGTTTAGAGTTGTACACAGCATGCATTTTAGATAGA